TATTTTCCCAAATGAAGGTGCCTCCTGTTAATGTGTGATAATAACTGGGCACTGAACTGCAACCAAACACATCACCACTCCTTAAACCTCACAGAGTCAGCTGCACATCTGCCTTTACTTCTGTCACACTCACTGATGTTTCCCCCGAGAGTAAAACATGACATTTGATCTGACCGTTTGACTTTGCCATATTGTTGGCCGGCACTGCACTGTTTATACTGAGCTTTTTCTTTCACTGACCTTCAACCTCTCTGGACGCAAGAACAAGAAGAAGGCGGCTGGCTAAAGGTGAAGAGGGTCATAAAAAGAAATAAATAAACAAAATTAGCCACTGACTCCAGCAGTCTGATTTGGCTTTCCTGGAAGACTGTTTATGACAAAAACACACACACACACACACACACACACACACACACACACACACACACACACACACACAAAATGCCTGCTTGTAATATGGCCTAACTAGATGTGCAGACCCCTTGATGTTCATTTACCTTGTAATTCCATGTGGGAAACATGACAGCTTACACACCCACTGTGAATTACTATCAACTCAACTGCAATAATACTAACACTATAATGTTTCGAGATACAATTCAAGGATCAGTAAAGGAAGATTTGTCACCCTGTAGCCTTTGTGTTTGAGAACTGGTTATCATTATCAAATGGCCCACATCTTTTTGCCATGCCATGTGTAGGTCATCCTCTAGCCCTTCTTGAAACAGCTGCTCTTGGATATCTTTGGGTTCTGAACTTGAATAAATTACTGGTGAAACATATCAAATGTGATTGCTTCCAGATAGTTGTACTGCATGATTTTAAGAAATTAACAATCTACACTGTTAGAAATAAAGGTCCTGTGCAGGTACATTTTTTGTTCATCAAGGTACAAACAATGTTAATGTACCGTCAAAGGTACAACAGTGATTTTAAAGTCCAACTGTGTACCTTAAATAAGTTTATCCAGGTGAAAAGTATATTTTTGTACCTTTTCATAACCGAATGTTGTAAAACAGAACAATAAAATAAAAAGCCTGGAGACGAGACGGGGTGTGTGGAGTCAATACACCTGAGAGAATATCATTTCAGTGGATTATGGTATAGTTATGTTTCCTGACTAAACACCTAAGGATACCGTCGCTGTGCACTGTGGCATGCATAAAATTTCTGAGCAGGCTTAGCTGACCTTGATTTGGATCAAGATGGTAAGAGGAAAACGTCTAAGTGACTTTGAAAGAGGGTTCTTTATTTGGGCACAGATGGCAAGAGCTTCAGTCACAAAGACTGCTCAACTGGTGAGTTTTTTCATCAGATAATAAGGTTAAAAATCATGGTAGAAATCATACATTCACTACCTGTGATGGTCATGCATTAGTGCAACACATAAATAAAGAGAGAAGAGCAGCCGGTTCCCTTTCCCTCGTGTCTGTATTTTAATATTTTATACTAATGGTAAAACTTTATTCTCTGTTCATTTCGCTCTTGTGTCATTGTTTTGCTATCCAGTGTGGACCAGAGGAGGATGGGTTCCCCTTCTGAGTCTTGGTTCCTCTCAAGGTTTTTTCCTCTTGCTCTTAGGGGTTTTCCTTGCCACATGTCACCCCTGGCGACGCTCATGGGGGCTCGGACCCGGATTTTTCTGTAAAGCTGCTTTGTGACAAGGCCCATTGATAAAAGTCCTATATAAATAAACTTTGACTTGACGTGACTTGAACTGTTTCTCAGATGAGAATGTAAATGCAGGACGTGATTAGACAGCCAGCAGAAACAGAGAGAGATATTGTGGGGCTGCAGTGCATAAACCTGTCATCACAAAGATGAATGCACATTTTAGTGTTTAGTGGTGCAAAACACTTCACCACAGATCTGCAGAGATATGGAAAAAGTGATATACTCAAATGAGTCATCTGCACAGCATACAAGAGAACAGTACAGGCTGAAATGCTTGACCCCTACAATGAGGGAGTTTTTGCTGGCATAGTTTGTGTCCACTTGTCCCCTTAGAGGGAAGGGTCACAAGGCACGAGGGGCCACTTAATGGTTTAATTTATATGAATATGATGCCAATCCCATGCCAAGGCCTCTCAAACCAAATCAGTGTCTATGGGAAATTTTGGACGTGGACATTAAATTAGCACTCTCCTCCACTGTCATTAAAACATTAATTGAGGAAATGTCTTCTGGAAGAATGGTGCATCAGTCCAGCAGTGCAGCAGAATGTATTCCATGCCACTTTAAAGCTGTTTTGGCGGCTCACCTTACTAAGATACTTCAAGAACTTTTTTCCTCGATGTGTAAAAATACCAGCAGCACTGTGGTTGGTATAGTGTAGTGGCTAACACCTCTGCCCTCGATGTTGGAGACTGGGGTTTGATTCCCTGCCTGGCCAAACACCTAATATTATACCAAGTTCTTGGGCAAGACTCCTAATGTAAGTCGCTATGGATGAGAGTGTTTGCCATACATGTAAGTGTAAATGTCCTGCCTGTGCACTATTGTGTTGAGAACAGTCAGCATCACAATATGCGGTCCTGTGGTCAGAAACTGACCAATGATGAGTAGTGCTAGAGGGAGACTAACAAATCGTGCATGGTAACAGATGATCGGGTGAGTAACTGTTCAAATGCAAAAGAGGTGTAATTGTACACCTATGTTTAAGCAATAGAACACGAGAGGGAGTGTGTTATCGCGAATAACATCACGGCTGTGATTTGGTTGCCGTAGATCATCATAGCCGTGATGTTATTTGCGATAACACACGACCTTGAGTGTTCTATTGCTTTTATACAACAGTTAAATAAATAAAGTAAGAAATTAATAAACTGTGATAAACTGTGAAAATAAATTAATAAAACGGTTGTGAACGCGGCGTTTAATATGTTTTAATGTTCGCAGTTCCTTCCGCCAAATTATAGTTCCTTAACAAGCAGCTTGTTGCTACGTCAGAGTAACGAACTCCGCCCACTCGCTGCACAGTTGGCAGTTCGTTCTCCAGCTCCTCACACTAAATTCCCAAACTGTCACCACTGAGCAGCTTTTTCGTTTTTTATTGCGGCAGTTTTATGGCTCAGTCTGATTTGGTCAGACTCTGAAGATTAGACTACACGTTTGGCGAATGTTATTCGGCTCATTTCTGGTTGGTCTAATTCCAGGTTGTTTAGCTGTTCTTCTGTCACAGCTGCCGACTGAAAAGCTGCTCAGTGGTGATGACAGTTTGGGAATTTAGTGTCGTCTCATCTTCAGAGTCTGACCAAATCGGCTGTCGGTCAAATGTCATCTTAAAAGTGTCCATGTTTGTGGCAAAGTAAGAAGTAAAAATGGCTTGAGCGTCTCCTACAGCTGTCAAAGCCGTTGCTTAGCAATGGCGTCTCAGCGGAGTGATACAATGTTTCTGAAAAACCTGTGATGTTATGGGGAAATAACAGCACGGTTAGAACACTTTTCAACCAATCAACTTGAGTGGCCGGAACTAACTGTTGTATGAAAAGCAGATATAGACCACCATAGTCGTGTCATCATTTTGTAGTTGGCGCCATGTTGTTATGCCCATATTAGGAACTCCGGGTCTGAGCTCCATTTCTCTATGGGCAAAATGAATAGGGTTTTCGAAAAATCGCATCTATCACTTCCAGTGGTAAATAAAAATGTTCAGAAGCCGATACGTTTTGTCCTGTGAACATTCTTCTCTCGAATAACACTGAATCCTCTGAATTACGAGGTCGTTAAAGAGTTGAAATGTGAGCTAAAGCTACTGCGCACTGAATTCACATCATTAGACTGACAGCCTCCTTAAGCAGCTTATCACCCCCTGATAAACTGATTTCGGCTCTCAGAATATCCTAATTATTATTTTAATGTTGGTAACATTTTTCTGAGGACATTTTCTCAGGACATTCGCCAGCTTTTTGTTTGACTTTTCCCGTTCCACCTTAAGTGGTGCAGCAGTCACTGCTGCGCCATTTAAGGTGGAACGGGGAAATTCGAACAAGCAGCCGAGGAAAAGAAGCTGACTTCAGCTTCATGGAGGGTTGAAAGGCCTGATATGAGGAGGTTCCTCTACTTCCACTTAACAGCTGAGTAACATTAACTTATTTTTGCTGCTTCACAGAAACGACAGGTCAGTATTTTGTCTCGTTTGCTAATGTTTGTGATAGCTAGTCACAGCTGCTGCAACATTTAAGGTGGAACGGGAACATTCAAACAAGAAGCTGGTGAAAAAGAAGCTAAATTCAGCCTCGTAGTTTTAACACGGATAATATTTTTGATAAGCAGTTTTAGTCTATCAAAATATCCCACCTAGAGGTTTTATTTACGGGTATACCTGTATTTATGCGCTACAATAGAACATCAGATCGTCAGAGCACCGCCACAGCCCGCCTTAGTTTCGTGTAGCTTAGTGACATCAAATTGATGCGCAGTAGCTTTAGCTCTCATATAGCAATATTATTATTATAGCTCTTTAACGACCTCATAATTCGGAGGATCCAGTGGTATTCAGGAGAAAAATGTTCACAGAACAAAACGTATCGGGTTCTGAAGATCTTTATTTAACACAGGGGGCGATAGAGGCGACTTTTTCGAAAACCCTATTCATTCTGCCCATAGAGAAATGGAGCGCAGACCCGGAGCTCCTAATATGGGCATAACGAGGACTACAGAATGACGCACGACTACAGCGGTGTATACCTCATAAAGTGCATTTTATATAACTTAGGAATGATTAATGGATTTTTTTTGGCTTTTTCAGCCACTTAGCTTTAGCTGTGAATGCTAGAGATCACCTGCTGAATCGAGGTGTCTCCGCTTACACAGCCCGTGGTTTCATTCTTTTATATGTAGCTCATCTGGTATTTCATTATATAAATGTAAATAGAATGTATTTACATATTTCGGATTTCATAGTTAGCTTACTACAGTAATGTGCATCGTAAAATGAACGCAATGCAGTTTAATCGTGTTTGTATTTTGATGGCGAAATCTGAGGACTCCTATATTGGGTCTCGTCGTGGGTCTTTAACGTGGCATCAGCTGTACACAAAGATGGCCGCTGAGGAACTTCAGTCTGCGAAGTTGCTGAATGTTTTTGTGGAAATGTTGAACTTTTTGTTTCTTTAAATGTTGGAAATTAGTGCGTTTTTACAGGCGGCTTCCACCAAATACGATATAACTGCAGAATGGCTTCGTGGGCTGGATTTTCAGACGAAGAACTGCGGAGGATTCAGCTGAAAGGCGAGCCGAGTAAGTTCACTGAAGCTAAAGCTAAAGCGGCTCAAAACCCGTGAAAAACAGTACTAACGTTAATTATTACCGCTATTATAACGTTATTATACTACTGCGTACGTTTACATAGGTGTAGGTTATGTAGTTAACGTTAGCTTTAATTCCTGCCCGTCTTCATTTTAAAATGAGCATACAAGAGAACAGTACAGGCTGAAATGCTTGACCCCTACAATGAGGGAGCTTCTGCTGGCATAGTTTGTGTCCACTTGTCCCCTTAGAGGGAAGGGTTTCAAGGCGCGAAGTGGTTAATGGTTTAATTTATATGAATATGATGCCAATCCCATGCCAAGGCCTCTCAAACCAAATAGGCGTCTATGGGAAATTTTGGACGTGGACATTAAATTAGCACTCTTCTCCACTGTCACTAAAACATTAATTGAGGAAATGTCTTCTGGAAGAATGGTGCATCAGTCCAGCAGTGCAGCAGAATGTATTCCATGCCACTTTAAAGCTGTTTTGGCGGCTCACCTTACTAAGATACTTCAAGAACTTTTTTCCTTGACATGTAAAAATCCCTATAGGTTATGAAGCTAATGTTAGCTTTACTTCCTGAAAGTTTTCATTTCAAAACGAAAGGCTCGTCGTGACTGAGGTGCCAGAATGTGATTAAGCTGCTGCACCATTTAAGGTGGACTGGGAAAGTTGGAATAAGAAACTGGTTGTGTTGGACACGGAGATGACTCTCTGACTCTTTTCTCTCTCTGATCTGATCTGTCTGAACAGGTGAGGCTGCTGTCCGCGCTGCTCTGGGTCGAGGTCGGAGATCTGCTCCCACTAACCGGAGCAGGCAGCAGCTGCAGCGGGAGAGAGCCCTGCAGGTGGCCGCTAAGCAGAATGATGGCAGTGGCTCTCCTCTGTCTCCTGACCAGCAGCTCAAGCCTTCTTCTCCTCCTCCGTCCAGTCCCAGCCACATGAGTCCGAACAAACCAAGAACCGAAGAGCCGAAGCTGTCTGAACCGGAGACAGTGAAACACGAGATGGAGCCACAACCAGAGGATCCGCCTGCAGTGGTCAAGGAGCTGGATAAAGTGGAAGTGGAACTGTTAGTAAGTCTAGTGTCATTTAAGAGTGTGGCTGTAATGGGGCGGATGAACCGCAGTGTACTTTGTTTATAAAGTCAGCTGAAGTGGTTTTAGTGTTTTGTAAGAAAGTGGCTGTTTTTCAATGAGTGTAGCAAAAATTCATTCATTTATTCAGTCATTCATCCATCCATCCATTCACTCTCTGCTTTAATAAGTGGTCTGTAATATGTTTGCAGCAATACCTTCATTGATAGTATTTGTGCTAAAGCTTTCTGTACATGTCTGCATCGGTCTGCAGTAGTTTGATTGGCTGCCGAACCTGTTTTCACCAAAGTACAAACAGAGAGAGCAAACATTGAAGCTGAGAGTGAAATGCTTGCTCCCACATAGATGCCTGGTTGAGAGCAGGAAAAGTACTTTCAGAAGTGTTTCAGAAATTAGAAATATTATTGTAGTTTTATGCTGTGATTGTTATCAATCAGTAACTACATAGTTGTTATATTCATTTACTTATTTTAGACGAGAGAAGACCCGTCTAGAGCAGCTTCAGTGGGAGCAGCGGGTGATGGAAGAGAAGAATAAAAGGAGGAAAGCCCTCCTGGCTAAGACCATCGCTGAAAAGTAAGTGCAACACACTAACTTTCTAAGAATTCTCTGATATCTCAGATTTTTAGTTTGTTAAGTTAAACTCCTTCTTTCACAGGTCTAAGCAGACACAGGCAGAAGCTGTGAAGCTGAAGAAGATTCAGAAGGAGCTCCAGGCTCTGGATGATTCAGTGTCAAATGACATCGCTATTCTCAGGAGGCTGATAGAGCAAGCCAGCCTGGAGTATTCAATAGCATGGTAACAAACCAGTTTCAGTTGCCTTTGTGGTTGACTTTATTGTGATTATCTTGTAGGGTGGGTTTTAAGGCCACAGTATTGGCAGTCTGTGTAGTGTCAACACGACCCATCAGTCTTCCCTTTTAAGGGATGTACATCAGTTTTCTGCTGAGGCTGTGCAGTGTATTGTTTGTGAATTGTGCTTGCAATATTGTTATTGCAGAAGGTGTTTGAACCAACACTCAAATGAGCACTCCCAAAAAGGTTTTTTTGTTCTTTGACAGCATTTTGATCACTCTCAATGTTCTGTGGGTGTTTCTGGCAAATGAAGGCATTCACATGACCTAGGAAACAAATATTTAAGTTTGAATGCAGCACAGATGTTTTACTAGGTAATGTGTTTTAAAATCATATTGCCAATTTAAAATCATATTGCCAGTGTAATATAAACATTAACGGAAAATTCGAGGGCGTCGGGGGGATTTATGGGTCGATATTAAGGCTCAATTGTATGTATGTGACAGACAATATGAAGCTGTCTTACATTCAGCCCACAGGCCGGGAGGTTAAGACCCCGTCATAATTCACCTTACAGTTTAAATATGATTAGACCAAGCCATGCATTTCTACTTTAATAAATGTGCGCAGAGTACCAGTGATAACATTGCTCAGCGTCGCTTAGGCAGGCTTCAGCTGGTCAGCTGGTTGCGTGTTTCAAAGCGAGAGCTGGCAGGCAGGCAGGCAGGAAGTTTGATTGGATTGTGTGGTCGTGCAAACTACATTTAACAGCATGGGAGCAAATATTGAGCAGTGTAGCGCTTATCCGATGTAGGGTATATTTATAAACTAACATCATGAGACAAAATATTTGAAAGTTCACTGTTTCACTTTTAAAAATATCCATTCATTACATTTCATTTCTCACTGTTTTTCACTCAATGTATATTCCACCTGACCAAAAATGCTTAGTCGGCTAAACCGTTTTGCTTACTTTAACATTGCATCGGTCTCAGGAAAGCAGATTCTTCATACATTCCATTATCCAGTAAGCCATTAACACAACCTATTAACTCAGTTCACAATGAACCTTCAATAAAGGTTCATTGTCATGGTCACCATTACAAACCACATCATTACGTTCTTCTACCACACCTCATTTTTTGTGGAGATCCCTGTACATAAACACAGACTCCGCACACGGTAAATTCACATACCACTGTATTTGGCTTTCCCTACATCTTTATGTAAATGCAACAGAACTTGTCTTTAGTGGGAAATAAGTTCGGTGAAACTGACGGGGATGTGAGAACAACTTTTCTGGTTGGTTACCACCTCCCTGCTTCACTGTACATTTGCATAAAGCTGAGCTGGACTTGATTGCGTCATTCAGATCACTTGCTTAATGTCAACACCAGCAGCAGCGCCACTGCTAGCTTCTGAGTTTTACTGGCTCTCGTTCAAAATGAATGACTTCCGTCTGCCTTCTTGCTTTCATTGCTGGTGGTGTGCACGCAGGGCACAGGGCAAATTGTCGTTGTCTCTTAACCGAGTAGCTTTAATTTTGGATTATTTCAATTGGTTCAGTCATCATGACATTTTAACACAATATAAAGCAGTGGTCACCAGCCCTTGTCCTGGAGGCCTTCTTTCCTGCAGAGTTTAGTACCAACCTGCATCTAACATGCCCCTCCCCCTTTAACTAACACTAATGCATCTAATCCAGCCAATCAAGGACTTCCGAAGAAGTTACTTAGCTGGAGCAGGTGTGGTTTGTGGTTGGTTACACTCTGGCAGGCCTGTCAAACTGGGGACCTACAGGCCAAAGTGAGGAAGAGATTAGCGTTTACCTTCATCTAACACTCTGTATTCAGTTCATGAAGGCCTTGCTGATTAACTGATGACCTGAATCAGGTGTGTTTAATGAGGCAGTGTGCTGAAGAGGACTGGAGTGTGATACATGCTCTGCAGGAAGGTAGATCTTCAGGACAAGGGCTGGTGACCAGTGCTGTAATGGTTATCTAAAGTTTTCAATTTGTGCAACAAAGTTACAAAAAAAAGAGACAAAAAAGAAAATACGAAGTTTTTGCATGGCAGCAACGATATATTGTTGTGAATCAAATCCAGCTCATTAATTTGTTGACCACTGTATACAACTAGTCATATGTGCTCCTCTTAATTCTGTCGTGATCCCTTCAGACTAGAGGTGCCTCTGAATAGAGATGGGCAGAAACACTGCTGTGGACGCTGATTTGATAAGTCTGCTTAGTGTCTGAATATTGCTTTTTATATGAGATTACAGCAGATTCCAATAGTCAATTTTGCGTAAATGTGACAAATTACACATGAATGACAGTCATGTACCAGTTTGATCAGTAGACTGATGAAGGATTTTAGTGCTAGTAGTCGATATTGTACACAATGACTACCTTTTTCTCAATATTAAGGACTTGCAATGTATAAAAGTCTTCAGTCCCTCATATGTTCCACATTCAGAAGGAGGAGTATAGCAATATCCATGCCATGTCTGTTCAAGAGACATAGTGAGACTGTAATAACAACAGTGTGCTTATTCTTGAGCAAGATCTGGAACATCTGTATTAATTCAGGATGAGTTAAATTGTGGTTTGTTGAAATGGGAATAAAACATAATTAGAAATGATGCTCCTTTGAAATACAGTATTCAAGCAGTGTCCGCTTACTTGGTCATTACATTTCTAATCACTCAGCGTCTAAGAGAGATCCAAAATACTGATCGTGTGAGGTTTGTTCTCTTTTTGCTTTTGTCACATTTGCTTTTATGTTGAAGGTGAAAATACTGCCCCCTAGAGCACAGACTGCTTGTTAATTTTAATGCAGGAAAATGAAAAACTCTTGCAGTCTTTCAGATCACAGAGACAGTTTATTGAAACATTTGCCATTTCAGTTCACACGTTCTGTGACATGAATTGTGCTCTGGCGGTGATCTGGAAGTAACATTTGGATCAGCTTTGTCTTGTTTGCAGAGGCATATTCCCACAGAATATGCAGACAGTAATTCATGATAAATATGGGACACTGCCTTTTTGCCTTCATATTGCCCATTGCTTTCCTTTTGAAGCAAAGTAAAGCTTCCCCAGCTGCCCCAGTTGCCCATAAAGATCCTTTACCTAATTGAATTTTACGCCAGGATCTGTTTTAAGGTGGCTTTTCTCTGTCTTTCAGTTGTTGAGATGTAAACAGTCTGTCAGAGTGATTGGAAATGAAATGGTGCATTGTAGAGACTCATTTTCTTTACAGTGGTGGTGATGGACATCAAAACTCATGATTCCTACAATGCAAACACAGCCCTTTTATTTATTATCCAAAACCACCAGTGAACCTACACTTGTTTATATATATTTTCATGTTAAAATGGTGCTAAATAATTAAAAAAAATGTTTTCTTTGAGTGCCATTTACATCATTACATGACTGTCTTGTAAAATGTGTTTTAGGCCAAAACCAAACCTCCAAATTACTGTAAAACAATATCTCAGGTGGCATATTTATAACCATTTTCTGTAAGGGAGCTTTTAGAGGCATTAAACTCTTCTGGGCATTTGGTTCCTATTGCTGAACAGTTGGCTCGGTAAGTTTCTCTAGAACGGAGCATTTCACATAAAAAAAAAACCCTGAACAGCTTAATATACATCTTAATGAATGAATTACGCAGATATATTGAAAAACCGATGGATTTCCTATTTAAGTGATGAAGGGAGTTATGCTTACTTGCCCCCTTACTGCCATTCCTTCACAGCACTAGCAATTTAAAACTAACCTAACATGTTCATTGTTTCTCTCGTACGTGGCAGGAAGCGCTTGGAGAAGGCTGAGGCCGAATACGTGGCAGCAAAGCTGGATCTGCACAAGAAGACCGAGGTGAAGGAGCAGCTCACAGAGCACCTCAGTGCTATCATTCAGCAGAATGAGCTGCGCAAAGCCCGCAAGCTGGATGAGCTGATGCTGCAGCTGGAGCTCAACGCAGAAGAGGAGGCGGTCACAGAAAGCCACGCCCACCAGGCTGCACAGGAGGGGGACGTAGAGAAGGAAAAGGAGGAGAGCGAGAGCCTCCCTCAGCCAGCTGCGGTGAACGGGCCCGCAGTGGAAAGTGATGAGAAAACACAGATGGATAGCATAGATATTAGCAAGGACGGTGCCACGACGGTGCCAAAAACGAGCCAAGATCAGGAGAGGGAACTGCTTACAGCAACCGCAGAGGGCAAAAGTTAGCCCCCACCTTCCCACCCTTTACTCCGTAGTTTGTGGGCTGTTTGGCTGTTAAAGGAACGCTCCAGAGTTTTTCAACCTAATCTCTATTTGCCACATCAGTAACTTGGTAAATTACTATGGGCAGTCATTTCGACATGTTTTCCTGTACTTGGTAAAAGAACGAAAACAACCACTGACTTTAAGCACCTGCTTCTATTATAAGTTTGCTTTCGGCAGGTTTTTCGGTTCTTTTCCTTTCTGTGTCGTAATTGTCAGTGGTCATTAGCTGTGTGCAGCGGATAAACATTAGGTTGAAAATGCTGGAGTCTTTCTTTAAAACGGCCTGACTTTTTATTCTGTTGATTTTGTATTATGAATATATTGGCACTACTTTTTGAGGCCAGCTTAATGAATGAACGTTTTGCACAAGCTGATTACCAGAAGATGGTAGAGAAATTATTTATGACGGAAAACAGTAGATCAAACTTTTCGGGGTGCTGCTTTATTATCTTAAGGCAGTGATGGAGTGACTATTGTAATAGAGCCTTCATTTAATGTAACAATTTTTTTTCCTATGAGTTATCAATGTTAACACGATCAATGCTTTTAACTCTATACTTTACACTTAGTACTTTATACTTGGATCTTTACAGTTCAAGCTCTTTGTATACGTTGGTTATCTACATATTGTCGCTGTCCAAAGAAAACCATCTATTTCCATTTTTGTTGTTTTTTTATTTTTCTACATCATTTCAACACACCAGCTGGCCTTTGCGTTGTATACTAATTTCGTGATGAATGGACCAATAGAAATGCTTCAAAATCACTTGGAAGAAAATTTCTGTACATTAACTTACATTGAAAGTTAAGACTTTTTTTGCCTTCTCCTGTAAAGTTACAATTTTGGAGATATTTGTTTTTCTTTGGTCAGCGATGATATACTTTTGAACTCTTTTTGTACTGTTTTTGGTGGGTGGTTCATTTTAACACTCCTCTCTGTGGGAATGGTGTCCTTTGAAAGAACTGTTCATTAATTGTAACACTATTTTTGGGCTTTTTTCAGCACCGTTATAACTTTTCGTAAAATGTGACATTTTTGAAAGTAGCTTCTGGCTTAATGCTCTGGCTGTGTTGAGTCGTGCACACCAGCTGCTTGATCAGCAAACCAAAGGCAGTGTTTAGACTGCAGACAGAACAGAGTAATCTACAAATGACAGCATGAAATACCCCAAAGCAACTGCGTCCAAATCGATAACAGCAGTTTTTATTATGCGAGGCTGATTCTTCTTAAGATGAAAGCAGCTATTTTTCTATTAGGAAAGAAAAAGGAGCTGAACAGTGGAGAGAAGCTGTATGGCACGTTTATGTGCTGCTTCCCTGTCTATAAGTGGTGGGTTTTTTTTTTTTCCACCCCCTCTTTATGAATTATTCAGAAAAGTAAACTCTCAGTCGAGTCGCTCCTGAAGGGCAGTGCGCTCACAAAATGGTAAGGCGATATCTTCTAATTTATGGAGGTTATTCACCCTGTTTCCACCCTGCTGTCAGCTCGTGACTGGTCAGCCCGAGTGCTGTGGACTGATGTTAAAATGTTCACTCGCAGTTTTGACAGAAGGTCAGAGCTTTGGGTGTTTTTAAGGTTTAATTAAAGCAGTGAGAGGCCTGAGTGATTCAGTAGCTGATTGGAGGTGCTGTTGATGGCGACGCTTTCATACTGTTTTCTACGTGTGTCGAGTGAATAATTACACTTTCGTGCTTTTACACAGTTTATTCCTTTTCTATGCAGTCTGCTTTATATACGGATGTTATATTTATATTTGTCAAATTTTAAAATAAACTTGATTGAAAATTAGACGTTTTCCTGTTTTTAAGAGCTACTTGCTTTTGAATGGTGCTGCAGTTTCGTGTCACTGCAGTAATTTGTTGGGTTAAAGGGGAACTCCACCAATTTTCCAGAATTTCTGAAGAATGCGGTCCACGAGATGTAAACAGTAATTCAGAGCTGTTTGATATGAAATGGTTCATTGTAGAGAAACTCAGATTTCTTTACAGTGGCGCTGGTAGGAACCATGGGTCACGAATATGACCTACATAAGCCTTCTGAGTTGTTATATGTAGTGTTGATGGTGGTAAAATAGGCAGAAATATGAAATAATACGTTTTGTTTGAGGACTATTTGCCTCACAACGCCCTACATGTAATCCTCCGCCATGAATGGAATAACATAAATGGATTCAAAAACATTTTGAGCCAATTTCTTTCACAAAACTATAAAAAAAACAATGCGTCAGACATCAGGGAGTGTATTCATAACATATAATAATTTTCTGTGAGGGAGCTTTTAGACGTGAACGTCTGGTTCCTATCACCACCACTGTGAACGATTCTGACTCAAAGTTTCTCTAGAACAGAGCATTTCACACCAAACCACTCTGGATGTCTTTGTTTACATCTCAACCATTTGATGATGTAGAATTATCGAAAACTCTGCTGAGTTGTCCTTTAATGCACGAAGCTTACGAGCTTTTCGCTGCTCGTTTCGTCAGTATAGTCTGAAAGATTCACGGACGAGCTGCTTCTGTAGCGGCTCAATCTGCTTTATGCTGCTGTCCCAGCGGCCTCCGCCCGAGCCTTCAGGCTGTTTCCTCCGCTCGGTCCCCTTTACAGCCCAATAATGGAGCTAATTCACTTAAATAATTGATCTTTATAGGCACCTGGGACAAATTTGTTCGGCTCCGAAATATAACAAGAGCCGCTGAGTGCAAGACACTGCAGAGGGATCAGTAATCAAGATCAGCTTTCTCGAGACTCGAATGGCGAAAAGTAAATAAAACTGTTCGCTCGTGCAGTTTAAAGTGTCGCGTGTGACGGTCATATATGATCTCTGATGTATGGACATACATACACACACATCATAAGGAGACAGGCATGTATTTTATATATGTATATATATATATATATATATATATATATGTGTGTGTGTGTGTGTGTGTGTATGCATATAATTTTTTTTAAATATATGTATATATATATATATACACACAAGTATTCAATATTGGACATGCATAATATATGGATCGTATATATGTGTCTGAAAGCTTGGTGAACACATATGTATGACATAGCCTATGGATCACATATACTGTTTGATGTGTGTCTGAAACGAACACAGATTTTTTTCAAAGCAAAAAATCAAAATTAATCGCACCAGCAACAATATTATATAATGCCATCATAATATATGCCATCCATATAGAAATATACATATTGTAAAATGTGTTACAGATTCATGGTGTTATATGTTAAGTGAAATATATATCCCACATTTGAAATTTTCATATAAGTTGGTATATATGCTGTATTTCCGTATGGTAAATATTATAAAATTATAATGGTTATAAGGTTATAAGGGCAGCCTATAGCTCCTCACTGAGGAGCTATAGGCTGCTCCTCAGTGAGCTCTCGGCCTGTTAAGGCTGTCCGTCTCAGAGTCTGGGCTCCTGACCGGGTCCCCCCAAAACCCCCCTCAGCTCAGTAACCCGAGATCTGCGGGGAAACGAAGGGCGAGATGAACTTTTCCTGAAGGGGGTAAAAAGGACTATGATGACTGTTTATCCAGCGTAATGTGAACACAGAGACCTGCAGATCAGCGAGTGTAAAACACGCCGTTTTAACGCGCCTCTGACGCAGCTCTGTGTGTTTAATACGGCTTCTAAAAACCGCCGAACATCTCAGCTCCGCTCAGCGCACCTCTCGGTCTGAGTCTCCTTCAGTCTGAGCGTTCGCTCTGAGTGAGATCCGGACAAATGTCCCAGATCTGCACCCTCATGACTTAACAGCGAGTTTAATGACTTATCAGTATTATAATACTGACATTCAGTCTTTTTGTCACGACACTGAGTTATTACATTAAATGTATGCTTATTTGTCATATTTATCCGTTTCAGTTCAGGCTTTTGTCCGCAATTAATTTAAAAAAAAAATTGTAAAAGATCTAAATTGGGTTGTGAATAAATCAGTTAATGTAATCATAATAAATAAATAAACAAATAAACACAAAACAAATAAATAAATAAATAGCTGAAACGGACACTGTTATGAGCTCAGGTGAGGTAGAGCTAAACAAAACCTCATCACTTTGGAACTGATTGGAAATATTTTTATATAAAATATATTCCATATTTTTCTTTTCGTACTAAATTTTAGTTCAACATAAAATGTAGTTAAATATGAAAGCGTTAACAGTCTTTAACCATTAGCTAGAAAAACATTTTGACATCAAACAAAAAAAAAATATATTATTCAATATTATTATTATTATTATTATTATTATTATTATTATTATTATTATCATTATTATCATTATTAACAACAACAACAATTTGTTTTGTTTGAAGCCCATTTTTTTTTCAATTAAAAAATAAAATCCAAATTGAACAAACACATTTAAATGAAAATTAGCACAACCGTCTACTGACTGTGGTTTAGCTCTGTTAATGTTCTTTATTAATAATGTATCTGATTATGGATGATCTGAAATGCAGTGTATAAATATATAAATACAAAAACGTTGGGACACTGCAGAATGTAAATAAAAATAGGATGCAATGATGTGCAAATCATGTAAACCACATTTTCAAAGGAACATACCACAAAGACAACATTTTATATGTTGAAACTGAGAAACTTTATTGTTTTTTGAAAAATATATGACCATTTTGAATTTGATGGCAACAACACGTTCCAAAAAAGTTGGGACGGGGGCACGTTTACCACTGTGTTTCATCACCTATTCTTTTAACAACACTCTGTAAATGTTTGGGAACTGAGGAGACACTGCTGTCAGTAGTGACAGGTCTGGACTGCAGGCAGGTCGGTTTAGCACCTGGACTCTTTTAATACAGAGCCATGCTGTTGTAATACATGCAGTATGTGGTTTACCATTGTCTTGCTAAAATAATCAAGGCCTTTCCTGAAAAAGAAGCCGTCTGGATGGCAGCAGATGTTGCCAAAGCATGTATATATCGTTCAACATCAATGGTGCCTTCATAGATGTGCACATCACCCATGCCATGCACACTAATGCACCCCTATACCATCATGAATACTGGCTTTTGAACTGTGCACTGGTAATAAGCTGGCTGGTCTTTAGCCTGGAGGACACAGCGTCCATGATTTCCAAAAACAAGTTCAAATGTTGATTCATCGGACCACAGAACACTTTTCCACTTCGCCTCAGTCCATTTTAAATGAGCTCAGGCCCAGAGAAGGTGGCAGTGTTTCTGGATCCTGTTTATCTGTGGTTTCTTCATTGCGTTTTAGTTTTAACTCGCCTTTGTGGATGCACTGTTTTCACAGACAGTGGTTTTCAGAAGTGTTTCTAAGCTCATGCAGTGATTTGCACTACAGAGTCATGTCTGTTTTTAATGCAGTGCCGCCTGAGGGCCCAAAGATCACCGTCAGCAAATACTGCTTTTTGGCCTTGTCCCTTGCATTTAGAGATTTCTCCAGATTCTCTGAATCTTTTAATATTAATATGTTCTGTAGATGATGAAAAGTGAAAGTTCTATGCTGTTTTATGAGAAACGTTATTCTTGAATTGTTGCGCTATTTGCTCGCACAGTTTTTCACAGGGTGGTGAACCCCTCCTCATCTTTACTTCTCAAAGACTCAGCCTTCTGTCTTTTTTACACCCAGTCCTGTTACTGACCTGCTGCCAATTAACCACCAGGTGTTTTTTTAGCATTACACAACTTTACCAGCCTTTTGTTGCCCCATCCCAACTTTTTTGGAACGTGTTGTTGGCATCAGATTCAAAATGAGCAAATATTTCTACATTTTATATGGTGTTTTTTTTTTTTACTATTTTCAATGAAATATAGGGTTTGAATGATTTGCACATCAATGCCTTTTGTTTTTATTTACATGTTGCACAGCGTCCCAACTTTTTTGGAACTGGGGTTGTAAAGAAATATTTGACAATATCATTTACGTCTTTAGTATTTAATGGATGCATGAATGGAAGCTATTTATAATGACCCTTATTTGTGTTTTTATTAATAAATAGTTTATTCATGTATTTCTTATTGAGGGCCTGAGTCCTAAATGCAGTTTATGAATGAGTGGAGGTTGTTAGTGTGTGTTATTAGTGAGACTGAGTGGAGTTTGGGGTTGTTGGTGGATGTCAGTGTTATTATGGTGTCTGAGGTGTGTCTGAGTGTTGGATGTATGTTATTAGTGACTGTAGTGAGCCGATGTGTTTTAGGAGTGTGTTTGTCAGAGTGTGTCCACTCCTCTGCTGCTGTGACCCCCCGCCACTGATTACAGCTCCACTGTCCTCCTCCATTTCCCTAATGGCGCTCTAAGAGGCCTGCGCTGATTACACACACACACACACACACACACACACACATACACCCCAGACTTTCTCTCTCTCTCTTTCTCACACACACACACACACACACACACACACACACACAGACACACAGACACACACACATACACCCCAGGCCCTCTCTCTCTTTCTCACACACACACACACACACACATACACCCCAGACTTTCTCTCTCTCTCTTTCTCACACACACACACACACACAGACACACACACACACACATACACCCCAGACTTTCTCTCTCTCTCTTTCTCACACACAAACACACACACAAATCAGACTCAAACATATGCGCTGAGCTTTTTACAGAGAGACCAGAAGCGATGAGGGATCAGGAGTAGATGTTGATTACTGGATTAAGTGTTTGAGTTGGTCTGTTAGAGAGTCCTGACCGTTACAGTTCAGTGTGTTGTTCTGTTAGAGAGTCCTGACCGTTACAGTTTAGTGTGTTGGTCTG